ATTGCGATCCATCAACAACTAACCATGGTGGCAACACGAACCAGAATGATGGCCATCATACTATTGGTAACGACCATGTTGCAACTGCCTGCGCCCACACACCAGGGCTACGAAGAGGATCTAAGGGCCGATTTCAGAGTTACACTCCATGTGGACGACAGTGAGCTGTACGGAGACGGCGACGAAGCGATGAGAAGCCAGTTCTTAGACGAGGATAAGTTCGCCAAAAGCATGTGTCCGGTGGGAGAGGACGACTGCCACGAGAACGCTATGCTTCAGGCGGCGCCCGACACCAAAACGCCGGCCGAAAAAATCAAAGAGAAACTCAATCGCCATAAGCAGTACGAGAAGGCCATGAAAGACGGCGAGGCTCAGGCGCAGAAGGAGCTCAAGGCTGCCGGCAAAGCCGACGAGTGGGGCGGCTTTTTGCCACCCAACATGATCAAAGGGACCACGCTCACGCAAACCAACGAGACTAAAGCCGGGTCTAAGCCCCGAGCGAATGCTCACGCTAAAGGCGCGCCCAAAAAAGTGTGTTATAGTACATGCGTTTTGTTTTACTTTTTTGAATTAATTATTTGTTTTCATATTTTATTGTATTGTATTTCTGTGTGTTTTGTTTTATTTGTAATGCTTTTCTATAGGGAAATCCCAAAAAAGTGTGTTATAGTACATGCGTTTTGTTTTACTTTTTTGAATTAATTATTTGTTTTCATATTTTATTGTATTGTATTTCTGTGTGTTTTGTTTTATTTGTAATGCTTTTCTATAGGGAAAGGGGAAAGAAGGCAAATCAGATGAAAAAGAGGATAAAGTTTTAAAAGCGGAGAAACCAGAAGAGGAAACAGAGGATAAAGCGTTAAAAGCAGAGAAACCAGAGGAGAAAACAGAGGATAAAGCGTTAAAAGCAGAGAAACCAGAGGAGAAACCAGAGGATAAAGCGTTAAAAGCAGAGAAACCAGAGGAGAAAACAGAGGATAAAGCGTTAAAAGCGGAGAAACCAGAGGAGAAAACAGAGGATAAAGCGTTAAAAGCGGAGAAACCAGAAGAGAAAACAGAGGATAAAGCGTTAAAAGCCGAAAAACCAGAGGAGAAAAAAGAGGATAAAGTTTTAAAAGCGGAGAAAAAAGATGAGAAAAAAGCGGAGAAAAAAGCGGATAAAAAGGAGAAAAAAGATGAGAAAAAGGAGAAAAAAGATGAGAAAAAGGATAAAAAAGAGGAGAAAAAAGCGGACAAAAAAGTGGAGAAAAAAGATGACAAAAAAGATGACAAAAAAGCTGGTAAAGGGGTTAAGGTTGAAGTCAAAGTCAAAGTTTAATAATTACTGAAAATTAATTATAATCATGTAAAAATCAAGTGCCTTATTATTATTATTAAATTATTTTTAACAATAAAAAACAAAATTATTAAAACTTATCTCAAAACTTAGCGCCAATAATAATAGACGGCACACGTATTGACACGTACTGTATAACACGTTTATAATAAATAAAATTAATAAAATAAATATCAAATTACAATCAACTAATAAAATATTGGCCGACATTTTAGTGGTCGCCATAAATAAAACAGATATTAAATAAACCAATTATTACCAAATCCTTAATCTAGAATATTGTGATCCATCAACAACTGACCATGGTGGAAACACGGACCAGAATGATGGCCAGCATATTATTGGTAACGACCATGTTGCAACTGCCTGCGCCCACACACCAAAACTACGAGGCGGAAATAATGGCCGAGATCAGAGGTAATATGCATCCTCGCGGCCATAACGAGCTGTCGGAGTGGGACGACGAGCCCTACAGAGTCCGGTCCTACTGGGCGGACGATGACGAGGACAGTATGCTTCAGGCGGCGCCCGGCGGCAACAAAAAGCAGGCCGAGAAACAAAAACGCGACCAGCAGTACGAGAAGGCCATGAAAGACGGCGAGAGTCACGCCCACAAGGATCTAAAGGCGGCCGGCGGTGCCGACCCGTACGGCGGCTTTTTGTTACCCCAAACAGACGACGGCAAACACCCCCATAAAGCCGGATCTAAGCCCAGAGCTAATGCTCATGCTAAAGGCCCACCCAAAAAAGTGTGTTACATGCGTTTTTATTTTACTTTTTTGAATTAATCATTTGTTTTCATATTTTATTTTGTGTTTTTTGTTTGTAATGCTTTTCAATAGGGAAAGGGAAAAGGAGGCAAATCCGGTAAAATAAATGATGATGGTGATGAGGTCGAGATATCGATGTCATAGGCAGCTTCTGCACCCTAATAAAGCATTATGGCTTTTGTCGGAGTTTAATAATTATTGCTATAATTGTTATTCAATTTCTATGTATTTAATTTAATTCAAATTTAAATAAACAATTGTTGTGTTTAAATATGAATTAAGCACTAATTCTAATGGATGTGTCCAGGTGAGATTATTCATGTTCGTTTATTTATATTATAATTTATAAATAATATTGTTTTAGTTAAATAATTGTTTATCCAGGACCTATGTTAAACTATTGTAAGAATAATGTTATAATTTAAATATAAATTAAATGTTAAAATGTTGATCCTGGTCATACCTCTCCTTAGTTTGAATATACAGTAATATAATGAATACAATATACTGTAAGTGTCGATACGACTAAAGAATTTTACACAATCTTTATGTTAACTAAAATGTGCGTTCATTTTGTAAGAGTTGTGACTTTTAATTAATAATTTAATTAAAAAATTAATAAAATAAAAAAATACAAAATGAAGGTTGTTTTGGCACTAATGTTGGCGTCTCTGGCCGTAACGCTGGCCCTCCCGATGGCGTCGGAAGAAGAGGAAGATGTGAACTCACAGGCGGAAACGATCGCCGATTCGGACGAGATCTCGCAGTCCAACGCCAGCGCCGAATCCGGGGTCTACTCGGCCGCCAAAGCGGCCGCTAAAGCGCTCCATAAGGGTCTGTCTAACGCCGCCGCCCGAGCCTTCAAAAACTCGACGGCTAACGCGATGTCCAAATCTGATGGGAAGGGAACGCGCGCTCCGCGCACTACCACTACCATTAAGAGTGGTGACACCGCTTCAGTCGCTGCCACCGAACCACCCAAACGGACGGAACCCGTTTCCACTGCCGCCAAAGCTCCCGAACCCGCACCGGAAGCCGCCTCGAGGCCGGCACCGCAAACCGCAGCCACCGAACCACCCAAACGGACGGAACCCGTTCCCACTGC